AGGCAGCATTTTCAGTCTAAAATTAGCACAGGTGCTAGAAGATCTCAATGGGATCTACAATGCTGTAACTGTTCCCTCCAAAGTACAGTTTGACCAGATTCAATGCAAGAGGTTATTTTTAAATCAGTCCAAGCGCATGATTTCCGGGCGTGTATGGGAGTGCAGTACATGCTGCTCAGAGGAGCAGGAACAGTACTGCCAGGCCAAGTAAAACAGAGCCCAAGGTGGGGGCTAGGCAGTTGTGCCACACATCCCCTTTGCATAGCATTTGTGCAGTTGCTAGCCCAGATCACAGCTAGATAAAGACCACCAACAGAAAAGCCACCGTCTCAGGGGAAAAGTGAGCCGGCTGGGAGCTAGAGGAGCATGCAACCTGGTCATCACACCCAAGCCTCCCCATGCTACAGGATGCAGGGGTGTTTCAATGCAGTTCAGAGCTGGGAGTGGACCACTGGCTTCCAACATGCATCGGTCTCATCCACATTAAATTTCAAGCACAGATGTGACAAGTCCACATGCCTGGCCACTGTACTTGTACCCCACTGGCCTACACCGCTCCCTCGAGCCAAGAAGAGAACCCAGCAATCCTGATCCCCAACCCTCCAGAGCCAGTCCTCAGCAAATTGCATGAGCTTGTCCCCGCTTTAAGTGCTTGCACTCCAAAGGATAACAGCCGGCTTCTGCAACCACCTGTTCCTTTAGACCAGAAGAAGCTGGAGCTATAGCTCGACATGTCTTGCATCCAAGCTCTGCTGAACATCCACACAGGAAAGAAATGTGTGGCCAGCAATTTAAGGCTCCCCTACACCAGGAGTGTATGCACAGTAATGCCACACTTGGCATTAGACTGGCCAACTAGCCAGGATGCCAGCTAAACAACACGAAGCCCCTGGAATTGCTAGTGTACTTCTGTCACAGGACACTGGATTCAGATGTGAAGGTTGGACAAGTCAGTATTTGCTATATAATTATGCTGGTTAGCGGGAACAGTCAGAAGAAAGAGCCTATTCTTTACAACTCTAGGCTGCAGGGGACAGCAGGGCAGGAGATTTCAAAGCAGTCAGAAGCTTTCCCATAACACTTCCCTTAATGCCTTATTTCTGCAGGTGAAGCACCAAGGTCTGCAGGGGGCTAGAAACAGCATGGTCCTGTCTGCAGACACATCCAAACTGCTTTACCTGAGCTTGCTCACACACTGTAGCCATCTACCCAGGAGAGAACAGAGCTCAGCACCAGCCTGCCCCTTGAGTACTTGCCTCACTTCTCTTTAGGTAGGGCAACACATCAAGCTCACTACTGCCAGCTCCATTGCTGCTGGCACCCAGGCTGGCTAGGTTACAGCTAGATTAGTTATTATAGTTGCACTAATTACACCACCCAGCAACCCCAATCCCCACCCCAGCAGTAAAAGGGGGTGCAGGAAGAATGGGATTTACTTACCAGGGACCTGCCAAGCCCCAGCCGAGCAGCCTGCTGGAAGAACCTCCCGAGCAAGCCTTCAGAGCCTGCCTGCTTGACTACCATCTCCTAAACACAAAGGGGAAGCACAGTCAGAGGGGCCAGACCTCACCTGTAGTGGTAGGATCCCACAGAGCCTCCCCCCATCACACAACAGACCCCTTTTGCCCCAGGGCTGGTACATGGGGCTACAGGACTGGCTTGCTGCTGCTCCATGGTGAAGAGCAGACCGGGCTGGACAGAAACCTGGCTGAGCCCAACCCCAGCACTTTAGTTACTTATAGGCTCTGATCCAGCTGCTGCTCATTATGTTAAGGAGCTGCCAGTCTTAATTAATCAGCATGACCTTTCCTTGCAGTCTCATTCTGGTTGTAAAATAAGAGTTTCCCAGATTAGGATGCAATCCTAGAGCTGTTGCTTGGTGGGGAATAATTCAGTGTAGAGCTTGGTTCTCCTGGGGATGTGCTTTGGGCCGGACCGCTTGGCACTTGGGCAGCTGCCCTTACCAGAGTGCAGATGGCATGTAGGGCTAGCCTGGGGCTGTGGGGGGCTTTTATCTCTCTTTATTGCTGGCATAAGGAACTGCAAAAGACCTTAAATGCCAGAGAACTGGGCCCAGATTTTCAGAAGCATTTGGATGCCTGAAGATGCAGCTAGGTCCCAAGTGGGATTTACAGTTTGCACCTTTGGGGGCCCAAATGCTTTTAGCAATGCAACCCCTGGTTCTTGCAGGCTGACTTGCTGCGGCAGCAGGGTGGCGGGGGATATGAATTCATGAGGCCCCTGCACAGCAGGACCTGTGCCCCATCCTGCCCCGGCTTCCTTGAGCATTTGCTTAGTGGTACCCGCCGAGGGATTGGGGCTGACCGATCCATGGCTGATATGAATAAGAGCCATGTCCTTGAGGGAGCCCAAGCCCTGTCCCAACCTGTGTGGTGACAACGCAGAGGTCCCCCAGACGATCCGCCCCTCTCAATTCCCAGATCACTCTGTGATGCTGTAGTCCAGGGGCGGGCAAAGTCCCACGATAGGGATCGTGGCAGACTCCATTTCCCAGGACCCCTGCCCACGTTGCTGTGGCTGGTTTTCATGGAGATCCCAGCAGCGGCCGGGCTGTGACAGTGCAAGGCAGGGGTTTTCAAGGAGACGGGCCCCAGCAGCGCTGGCAGAGTGAGCGGCTAGGCAGGGAGCTGCTCCGGGGCCGGGATCTTGCAATGGTGACAGCGTGGTCGAGATCTGCTGCCCACATGCCCCGGGCAGCTCTGCCCCAGCTCCAGATCATGCTGTCACTACTGCAAAATCCCAGCCCTGACCCTGGAGCAGCTCCTTGCCCAGCCGGGCACCCTGCCAGTGCTGCTGGGGCTGGTCTCCATGGAAACCCGTGTGCCCCCCCCCACCCCAGTCCCACTGCTGCTGGGGTATACATGGAAACCAGCTGCAGTAATGCAGGCAGGGGCTGCTGGGAAATGAAGTCCAGGCACCAACCTGGATCTACCATTTTGCTCACCCCTGCTGCAGTGCCAGTGAGAGCGACCACAGCTGCAGGGAGGTGGGGTTGCTATTCGTTATACCCAGCACCAAGAACGGGAGAGGAGCCGCTCTGGTTCCCGGATGCCTCCGCTGTGCTCAGTTAGCCACTTCGACAGCCCAAGAGGCTCCTCTCAAATGCTGCCTGCAGCTCTCTGTTTCCCCAGCTCTTTGACACCCAGGAGGGTTTATCCCTGCGCTGCATATGCCCCTTATATTTGGGTCCTGGGCTTCAGGCCGAGTCCTCCACCCTCCCTGCAGTCCCGAGCTCGCAGGGCTGATCCTTTGCAATGATGCACAAGGCTCACTGGCACCGTTTTGCAGCTGGCCTAAACCCAGAGATCAGGAGGAAGCCTGTGAATGGCTCTGTGGACTGGTGAGCATAACATGGGCCATTTCGCCAGCCAACCCTGGTGCTGAGATCATGTCTTGGTTCCACTTCAGTTAACATGGATTTCAAGCTGGGACTATTGATAGAGCTCCAGGAGGGGACAAGAAGAGCACCTTTCCTTCCATTCAGCCAAGGGAATGGCACCCCCAGGCTCTCTCCAGCTAGGCACCGCAGCCTGGGGGGTGAGGGGAGGAGGGGGTTGAGGGAAACTTGGAAAGGGTGAGGCCAATGTCCACGAGCCTGGCTGCTTGCTGGAGTTTGCCATGCTGTGCAGCCGGCTCCGGCGCAGCACTTCAGAGACACAAGCGGCCAAGCTGCAAAGTGACCTGGGGACACCCCCGGTGACAGCTGTCCCCACAGGATCATTTCTGCTGTCCTAGTGCCAGCTGGAACTGGAGTGCATAGAAGGGAAGGGGCAGATTTTGCTCCACAGTCATTGAATTTACTCAGACTTCAAGCTGGTTCAGTGCTAACGTGCACATGAACCAGCCACAGATTTGGGGCCTTTATTATTTCATCCCAAAAGGTCCAGGGCCCCAGACCAAGGCCTGCTCCTGCTCCTGTTCCCATTGACATCAATGGCAAAACTTCCCCCACTCTATCAGTGCAGGATCAGGGCTTAAATCTGCTGGAAAGCACCAGCTGCCCTAGAGGGGAGAGGCCGGAAGGCGCATGAGCAGCAGGCAGGTCTGTCTATCACTGTGGGACCATGGGCCAGGGCTGCAGCAGGGGCTGAAGTCGAGATTGCCGTTTCTGTGCATTGTTTCCAGTGCAGGAACGGATGTAAAGCAGCCTTGAGGCACCTGCCATAAGTCCAGGTGTCAGGAGCAAACTCTCTCCATAGACACAGTCCAATTCTGTGTCTCCGTGCCTGCCTTGGTGTGGAGAGAGAAGAATAAAAGACAAAGCCCCTTTGATTTCCAGGTCTCTGCCGGGGCACGCTCGGTTTCTGCACCTGTGGGAGCACAAGGCTGTGACTGAAGGGCTGCCCCCCTGCCTCCCCCCGGCACTTTGTGGACATTGGCTCTTTTGGTTTCAGGGATGCTCGAGACTGTTCCTTAGCCCTGCATGGAGGCACCGGACGCTGAACAGGAGGGAGAGAGAGACAAAGAGGTCTCAGAAAGAGCCATTTTAGAAAAATCCCTCCCCTAGCGTGCACGGCTCCTGCTCCCACAACACCCTGCACCTAAGGAGCAGTGACTCACCCCTGAAAGGCCACCGTTCGATCGATTCGTCCTTTCTCCCTCTTTGCAGACGGCTGCAAAGTGCTCTCTGCCTGCCTGTGCTCCACAGCCCCAGGGACTGGCAGCCCCGCCAGCGCCTTGCTATTTCCCCGGCGGTGACGGGAGCCCATCTGCTCAAGTGGTCCTCGTCTGTGCTGCACACAGAAGAGGCAGGCAGCGCAGAGGTGTAGGGATGAGCTCCCCTCCTCTCCTGCCTGCTCCAGCTGCCTCCCCTTTGTACAGGCAGATGATGCATCATCTCGGGTCCGGAGAGAGCAGGTGCAGCCCTGGCTGTCTGGCAGGAGTCATCACAGAGCGTCACCGCGCACAGAGCAATCGGGGCTGAGCGGAGAGTATAAATACGAGGCGGCTGCTCTGGAGAGCAGGAGGGGACCGGAGGGCCTGACTCCAGGGCACCGCAGAGGCAAGAAGCCAGCGCGCTGTCTGCCCGGAGATGTCACTCTGGGTGCACGCGAGACCCGGCTGCAACTCTCCCCCTGTCAAGGCTTCCCGAGACATCTTCAAGTACATGGTGACCCCCGACCGCATCCCGCAGTTCATCATCCCCTCGCTGGACATCCAGGAAGGCCGCAGACTCTTCAGCAAGGTGAAGCCGCAGACGCAGCCCGAGAGGAAGGCCCGGAGGAGCAGCTCAGACCCCACGGGGAAGAAGGCTCATGCTCTGCCCTGCTCCCTCCTATCCTGCTCCAGCCTGGAGCTGGCTGTCAAGGTGGAGGAGATTTCAGACCCTGTCACCCGGGCAGCCCTATCCCTGCCCCACTTGCCCAAGATCACCACCCCGTATGGCTTCGTCACCCTGGGGGAAAGCCCCCAGGTCACCAATGAGGAGGCTTTGTTTTTCCACTTGGACTTTGCTTCTCCCAAGTGTCCTGGCGTGAAACCTCCTGCCCCTGAGAAGCCGGGAAGCTGGAGAGACCCCGAGATGCCCACGGCCCTGACAGACGGTTGCTCTCGAGCGGCCGGCTGCTTAAGAGACTGGCAGCAGCACCATGCCCAGCAGACCAGCTGCAGAGGCAGCAACGGGAGCCAGAGCGCTGACCACCCAGCCAGGCCCCTCTTACCACAAAGACGTTCCAGTCCCATAAGAAGCAAAGAGGCCATAGGTGTGTTGGGGAGCAGAGAGGCGGAGAGGGTGGAGGGTAAGAGGAAGCCTGCGTCCTTTGAGACGGGCTGTCAGAGGAGCACCTCCAGTCCCGAGCTCCGGGGCAGAAAGCCCCAGAGAAACTCACTCCAAAAGATCCTGAAGAAGCGCTTCGCCCAGCTCAAGCTTCTCAAGTCCATGCATTTCACCCTCCATTGATGCTGCAAAGCAGCTCCAGGGAAGGGGGCTTATCAAAAACTGGAGGCGCGGGGACGATATTCCAAATGCTGTCGACTTCCATGTCATGGCCAGGCCTCCGGACTCGAATGCAAGTGCATTCAAGTGAGTGCTCCATTCAAATTTGCATCCGCTATAATGAACTGGTTGGCATGTGTGCCCATTGCTGCCCCTGCTGAGAGATTAGAAAGGCTCAGCTGTGTGTCAAAGGCCACATGCGAATGAACCGTGCTGTGAATGGTGTGGCCTTGTGTAGGGGGGAATCGCACCTCTCCCCTTGGCGTTGCTGAGGCACAGGAAGGAAGACAGCAGCTCAGAAGCCCTGGGAGAAGCTGGTGTGTATTGTGGGGGCGGGCACCCTGCCTCCTTCACATGAACCTTTTCTCTTTGGTTGTCGGTCCTGGCATTTGTGTATCAATAAAATATTCTTTTCCAACTTGATCCCTTTGTACGTGAGGTCTGTGATGGGCAGTGGAGAGGAGGCTCCTTTGCAAATGGCTCTGGGGGGCTCTATAGAAACAAAGCAAGTTCCTTTTCCAAACCCAGTGGCCAAAGCAAACTGGTGGCTGAGGCAATCAGCACACACACTGACTGGCAAAGGGGCTGGATGTGAACCGTTTGGGGGTAGGGGGTTACGTCAAACCTCAGTGCTGAGGGGAAAGGGCAAGGGATGCTAACAGTGAAATGCTACCAACTAAGGTACAGGCCAGGTACACTCTCCTTTAAAGTCACAGAAACTTCCCTGCTCCTCAGATGATCAATGCGCTTTGACTATTTTCCAGTTCACGGCAGATGTTACTATTCGTTTGTAGTGCGGTAGCACCCAGCAGCTCTAGCTGAGGTCAGGGCTGTGTCATGCTGAGCATCCCTTGAACGCAGGACAAGACATTCCTCACCTTTAAGAGGAGACAATGTAAACTGAGTAGCAGAGAAGAATTGTTTTCATCTTCACTTTACAGGTGGGAAAACTGAGGCTCAGGGAGCTTAGGACACAGAGCTGGGAAAGCCCAGAGATGCCAAGGGATGCTTTGCACCCTATTCCCAATGAGAGCCAGTGGGAATCACTCCCTGATGCCCCTTAGCGGTTTAGGAAAGCCAATTCAGGCCAGTGCCATGTGTTTTCATCGGGTCTGGTAGGCAACAGTGGAGAAGGAATCGATTCACAGAATAGGCGCAGTGCAACAATTGCAGTGGGAGCTCCCCAGAAACAGCCAGGGCCTTCAGGGCAGCTTCAAGGCTGAATCAAGGGAAGTGCAATCACTTTAAACAAGCATAACTCCTTTTTGCTCCCACCCACATCCCTCTCACACACTTTCTGCTGCAAGGGAGGTCTGGGACTCAGATGTTTATTATCAAGCCTTAGCTACATACAATAGAAACTGTGCCTACTGTTCTGCCCCGGTCCGGGTGTCTCCTGCTGCCGATAAACCTGTCTGTATCTCAAGGGAACAGAAGGCTATACTGGAAGCAAATTCTTCCCCCCACAGTCATAGGCTAGGGATAGACATTCAAAAAGCCTGAGCCTGAATTGATTCAATCTTTGCAGGTTAGTCTAACTTGACTGGGCTTAATCATTTTGTAACCATACAGATATCTCCTCTGGACCGAAAAAATGCAGGCACATGCCTGCAGTGGCTCAGGCTAGAAAGTTGGGGGCGCTAGAGCAGCCCTCCCTTCCCTTCCCTTCCACAGTGCTGAACTGAGGGGGTGGGTGGGGAGCATGGCCAGGCCCTGGCAGGAGGCTCTGATTAGGGAGGGGTCCCCCCCTGCCCCGGGCTGATCAGTGAGGGAGCCAGGAGGGGTTCACACCGCATTTACCACCCCCTCACCAAAACAAAAGGATCTCTCATTAGTTCTAGCTCTTCTTAAACAACTTACTCCAAGGAAGGAGGGACATTACCAACTACCTGTTGATTAGCTCCAAAGAGCCCTAAGCCTGTTCTGTCTCCCTTGTCTGGTCTCCCACAGCATGGACCGTAGCCAGCATGTGGTCTGCTAGCTAATGTTGAGATGTGTCAGTGTAAGGCAGAGGGGATGGGGGATCCTTGCTTAGCAGGGAGTGGTGAGGGGAGGTGGGGAGCAGGGGGAAGCCAGGTAGATATCTTGCAGTCTGTGCCGAGCTCCAGCCAGGGAGCAGAGGGGAGGGGCCAGCTCTGCTGTGGAGCAGAGAGCCCTGCCCAGCCCAGAGAGCATGCCAGGATGCTGGGGGAGTCCAATTTAATTTAAACTAGGTAGGGGTCTGGGACAGACATTGCATAAACCGGTTTGACCCAAATCAGTTAAGTCTGATACTACATTCAACCAGGTTTATCTCAAACCGGTTTCAACCATTTTCAAACCAGTTTATGTGCACCGAACAACTGTTCTGTTACAGGTTTAAACCCGTTTCTGATCACTTAAAGCACTTTATATGTAATGTCTGTCCCTACCCATAGTGCTGCCCAGTCTGGAAGCTACAGGACAAAATGGCAGCAGCCTAGAGAGACAGTTTGCAGTCGGAGGTGACCCATGGAAACACAGACTTAGACCACAGATGGCTCACTTACCCCAGGGAGCCTGTCTCCACTGGCTCCACTCTGGAGAGGGCAAGGAAGGGGCAAGCATGGGATGCTGGTTGTTTCAACAGGAGCATTAAAGCTTGTTTTCTGGTTCTAGATGTCACCTCATACACTGCTGTGTAGTTTCTTTTAAAAGCAAAACCTTGTGATGTTAAAAGAAAAGCTTTTGCCTTTAGCAATGTTTCGGGTTAATGTAGCAGCGCTTTCTGGGTCACCAGAGCAGGGCCCGGTGCCACCTCCATTATCGTGCTCAGGGCTTCTGTGCTCTTCCTAGGAATCTGCTGAGGGCCGGAGTCTGGGGAGTTGGCCCCTGTCCAGAGCACATCCGAAATACGCCCTGTATCCATGTGGCTTGAGCCAGTGTGGGGTTAGCCAAAGAGTTTCAGATAAGGGGTTTCTGATGCTGGAGAGGAGCAACGTGCCGGCGCCTAGTGACCGGGCTTTTGAATGGGCAATTAGGAACCCTGGATCACATTTCTAACTCAGCATAGACCTCGCATGTGCCTGTGGGTAAGTCACTTCCCTGTTCCCTGCCTCAGTTTCCTCTTCAGCCTTATGTGTCATGACTATCTCTGTGCCTCTCACAACGGGTCGCCACAGTCCCCAGGGCAGGGGCTGGTGGGTGCCTTACACGTACTATTCCAAAGTAAGCAATAATAAAGATAGCACCGTACCCCACCACCTTGCGCGAGGACAAAGGAGTCCTGTGGACGCCAGAGCGTGATGTTATGGAGTATGCAAATGGGGAACCCGTTTCAGAGGAAAAATCTCCAGATCATCTAAGCATCAGCTCTGCTGTAAGTCTTGCCCCATAACCACCAGTGTGTGCATTAAAAGGCACAGGGTGACAGGGGAGCGATTTCAGGTGAGTCTGTGCAGTTAGAACGGAAACCAAAACCAGACCTATAACACACAATTAGGCTTTGCTTTGGAGAGTCCAGTCACTGCCAGACCAGAGCCCAGAGTCTGAAGTGCTCACATGCTACTATAGAAGGACAGATGCAATGGGGATGGGGCGAGGGCCCTGTCACCCATGAATGCCCCTGTGGCGCTATGCAGCGCCGTGCTGAACACCCCATGCAGCATGGTCACGGCGCTCAGGGACCTACTCTAACTCCCCCCATCCCAGTGCAATGTCTGGTTCCACCCGTTACTAAGGGTATCGCCATTGTATAGTCCACAGAAGCATCTTCCTATCAGACCATTCCTCTGCATTCCCCATGTTACAGTACTTCTCTCTCTCTTTTTCTTTGCTGCTGTAGGTTTCCAAGAGAGGCGCTGGGGCTAATTCTCCACTTGTTTTGGCTGGTGACACACCAGTGAAAGCCTTAGTCCTTGGTCATTTGAAGTGAAAGCCAGAGCCTGGGCATTAGGACTGGGATCTGCCTCTCTCCCACCATGTGGCCTCGATCAAGTCACGAGAACTGGTTTTTTGTGTCTACAGACACCGGATAATATTTCCCTGCTTCGCAGGTGGGTTGGGGAGCTTAATTCATTCTTGTTCCTAAGACATTATGAGATCCTTGAATGAAGGTCCTGAGCGAAGGACAAAGTATTACGCTTCTGATGATTATAGCAGGGCTTGGTACAAGGCTCAGCTCTTTCCCTGTCTTTTGTATTCAAATCACTATCCACTTGATCCACTGAGGGAATCGCAGAAAAAAGGGCTCATTTGAAATGGGAGCCAGGGGAATCCTCCCCTGACAGGCACAATGCATGTGTTAGAAAGCACAGGAGCAGTCCCTGGCAGCAGAGCAGAGCAGAGCAAAGACTTTTTCACAGCTAAAATCTCCCTCGGTGTGTCTTGCCAGCCTGTCACATTACTGTCAGCATAGAAGTATATGTGTAAAGGAAGCCTGTCACCCAAACCTAGAATGTGCCTCAGCGATATATAGGAGCACACTCTCTTTTATCTTCTGCAAAAACCCAATCCTTTTGAAACAAAGGCAACAAGCTTCCTGGATGCAAGAGTGATGGATACTACCGAAATGCCTAGATTAATAATAATAACAATAGGAATAATGAATGATTATTCATCGTGATCATAATATATCTTCCAAACCCTGTTTCCATCTGACTCATGGTTTGTCCTAATGGGTATAGACTGCAGAAAATCTCATAGCTAATTACCCGTATCCAGCTTCATATGCTTTGATCTTGGTGATTTTCCATCCATCCGTGGGCACAGCAAGGCATAGTTTGAGAAGTAAATGCGTAAGACCTGCAGTGCAATTTGCATGCAAGAGGCTGGGTTTTCCAGCGCTCGGCAGCACTCAGCTGGGTGACACTTCTTCTCAGGTTGTCACAGCAGCTCAGCACCCCTGGTGCTGGGGTGTCTTGACCATCTAACTGCTGGTATAGGTGCCTTGCTGGGAGTTGGGCTCTGGAAAAACTATCTGGGGGAGGTTAGGGATTTGAAAATTC